TTTTTTCCTACCTCATTGCTTTGACTGTATCTGTTTAGCTATTGTGCTTTGAATACCTACTATATACTATATACCTACTACTATAGCTGTCTTAAAGAGCTAGCAAATACAGCTGAGCCTGTTTCATTTTTCTATTTGTGCATCATGAATGGTTAGCAGGCCTCTCGTTAAGTTATTGTGAAGTTCTCCAGTAATCTAGGAAACACTTGAACCATACTGATAGACATCGGTATAAGCACCTACTGTTTAAAGTCAGGAAGAAGAAACTGTCTTTTGAATTGTTCAGCTGTCTTAGTCACCCTCAGGAAGAGGGTGGTTCCGACACAATATCAGATCTGTGATGTCCACTGCAAGTGTGAGGTTCGACTCAGCTGGGTGCCTTGGCACTCACCAGTTGTGAAAGGTATGTATTTAGTCACCATCAGGGTGGGACCATCTTTAAGTGCATGCCAGGCACAATCGCTGAGCCTCAAAGCGATTTCAATAGGAATAAATGTGTCCTCACTGCAGTGTGGGTGAGTCTTGTGGCGAGCACAGCTGGCTCCAGCACAAGGCTGTATGTGGTGAAGCTAAGGAATCTCTGAATCCCAGTTTAGGAAGGTGGGAGGCGACTCTTAGATATGAGGAGACAGAGGGTCTTCCTTTTTTTTGGTTGTTTTTTTTTTTTTTGTTTTTAAATGAGAAAGAAGAACCCATACCGTGCTGTTTCCACCTTCCCTTACAGGGAAGGCTGCTTCTGCTTTTCAGGTTTTTCTGCCCAATTTGTTGGTCTTTATCAATAGTTCTGTATGCTTTAGAAGCTTTTGTAGGGGAAAAAAAATCTGGCTTGCGATGATTCTTGGCTGTCTTTTTATTTATTTGTAAAAGATAATGCTTTAGTATGCCGCTCCAGTCCTACAGCACTTAAGGATTGAATTAGATCTTTTATCCTTATTGCTCAGACGTTTCTTCCAGCCCCAAGTATAAAAGCTAATCTTTAGCTAAGTAGAGAAGTTAGCAGTTGAGATGAGATGGAGTTGTCTGTTGAGGATATGCTACTGTTAATGGAGCTGAGGAGAACGTTACATACGGTTTTCAAATGGTTTGTGTTGTTTCATAAAGGAGTAGCCTGCCTAAGCTGCGGTGGGTGATGTCTCTGGTTCTCCCACCAGGTACTTGCACACTGTAGAAAAGTGAGCAGATACCGTACTGCTGGGAGGAGTCAGAGGCAAACATCTGATGTGTCATACCCGTTCCAGTGTTACGTGTTCGGCCAGGTCTAGCTCCCAGTTTTAAAATGCTTATAAAGACAGCTGATCTTGCTGAAAACACTTGTAGCCCACTTTGTTGCGAGATTGTACACGTGCAGAGGTTTGCCACTCAGGGCTTCTGTATGGGCGGGCTATTGATATGGAATCAAATAGGTCCTAAGTTAGAAACAGAAACTTTCTGCAGTGTAAGTGGGGCTATTAATAAAAGGCACATCCTGGTTTACATTTAATTAGTGGCTGTTGCTCCGTGGATGGCTCTATTTAGGTTCCGTCTTTTTTTTTCTGTACTTGACACAGAACAACTTAAAATTTCCACATGAAGACAACTTTCCTTTCAAAAAAGATCTAGCTGTGTCTTGACACCACCTTATTCACACTAAGCTGCTGATATTCGAAATGACCGATTTCAGGCAAGATGTAATAAGCAGGTGTTGGGTTTGGTTTTTTTATTCCCAAGGGTTCTCTTTGAACGCTTGCTTCCTCTCATTACTGAGGTGGTTTGCAGGTGTGTGTGTAATGCAGTGGTGACTACAAACCTTGATAGGCCGTGGAGGAGGACTGGTTAGTCTTGCTCCGCTGAGTTTTATGTGTCACAAAGCCTTCTCCAGCTAAAGAAAAGGCAATGCACATGGACAGTATTCATCCATTCTCTGTTGCTTCTAAAAGTGGCACAGGTGTATAATTAAAGTTGGGTCCTTTTGGCTTTTTGGTTTTGGACATTTTTGCTTGGGTGGAGTTTTTGTTTGTTTGTGGTTGGTTTTTTTGTTTGTTTTCATTCTTTTTGTTTTGTTTTGTCTTTTGTTAAAGGATGTATATGAAGGAAGTTGCCCTAAAAATACTTTGCCTTATATTCAGGTGCCTTTCTAGTTAAAAAGTCAGGAATACTGAGAAGGGTGCTTGGAACAGACACTTCTTTCAGAGAAGCGAGATACTGTAGATCAGTTGATTGGTAACTTATTGTGGATCAGCTGTAATTTGCTAATAGCAGAAACAGCTGCTTTGCCCTGTAGCTCTTGAAATTTATTTAGTACTAAGATCTGTTTCTGAATAACAGTTCAGAGTTAGAGCGATGGAGCAAGCCAGGTGTTGCTAAGTGTTGGGGATACAGGAGGAGAAGTTTGGGGTTACTTTACATTTGAGGGAGGGAAAAATGCCTTTCTAACTAGATGACATGTCAAGGATCACCTTATAAACACGCTTGCTGTTATTTTTAGGCCAGCGCTATGGTTGCATCTCCTAGACACAGTCACAAAATTGACAAAATACTGGAGTATGATTTTTACTGGAGTTACTGCACTGATGCTGGATTTACAAGGCATTCACTGCTTAGTGGTAGTTCATAATATAAAAACCACCTTCTGGTTTTAATACCGTGTTTTTTACCATGGTAGTACTACAAGCAGATTTTGGAAGTTTATCGCATTGTGTTCTGCTATTCAGTGCTTCAAACAGTGCTTCTGTGTATAAAGAAGTGCCTTATTTTGTTCTTCTCCACAATGTTTATTGCTACTGAAGGCGTTGCTATGTTCATACTGAACTGCAGAGATTCAGCCATTATAAGCCTCTATTTTTCAGTACTTAAATTTATAGCAGCATTGCCCTCTAGAGGGCACTTCTTCTGATCATTTCAATAGATTATTCTTTTTATATTAACTAAATCTCCATTAATTTGTATGTGATACTCCTACTGTGTAGTGAACAAGAGGCATCTATTGAAAGCCAGTCGTCTTGTTACCTGTCAGAAAGCGAGGTATGCGACAAGAATAAGTGAAATGTTTGTTTCTGTTCTCTGAAAGGGTGCAGCCTGCACTATCAGTTTTCAACGGAATTGTTTCTGAAATAGCTATTAGGGAAGAGGTCAAACTAATTAAATAATGTCTTGCCTGTTTAGAGTGCTCCTGTCCTAAACAGCTTGCAGAGCAGTATTATGGTGTACAGCATTTGACGTGGAAAATCCACCAGCAGAGTGAAATACAAGCAACTTGCAGCTTAAGCTTATTTTGAAGCAGACAGCAGAGCCTAGATAGGTTTAGAAACAAGCTCCTGATCCCCTGCGATGGATAAGTAGACATTAATGATACGAGCTTAGTATTTTCTTTCATTTTTTTCTTATAAGAAAGGCTTTGGTTTAAAAGAAGCTCCTTACCAAAATTGTTATCCAGCTTTTATAGTGAACCTTGCGTACCTGTATGTCTAGCGGAGAAACAGTAGGGGAGGGTCAGTGGGAACACGTGTTTCCTGAAGTGGTTGGTAGAAAGTTTACAAACCCAACTACTGTTTCCTCAGTCTTCGGGTATTGTTGTGTTCAGTTTATCTCGTTGCTAAAAGCCAGTTGGTCAAACTTGCTTAACAGCTTGAGTAAATCATGTGTTATATACAGACTCTTGTCAAGTATGCGAGAAATGCTAACTTCAGCACTTTTCATAATCACGTTGCTTACAGAAGAGTACCTGCAGTGCTGAAATCAAAAGGCAGTGCTGCTAAAGTGATTTTGGTGATGTCTTGACTAAGATTAAAACTGTCCAGTTGAAGTAGATTGTACGCTAAGAATACCGAAGTTCATGTTACTGCATAAGAAGATATTAAATAGTGTGTGGGGGGGGAAAAAGGTAATTTGTGAAAGGCGCGATTCTGACTGACTTGAACACTATCTTGAATGCATCAAATTTTGCCTACATTCTGAATGAGCTTGTGTTGTCAGATGTGTAGTGATCGAGCCACTGTCTGAACCCAGCTGAAGTAACTGGCTTGTGGCAACTCTGCACCATGGTAATTGTGCTACTCTGACAAGATTGAGGATCTGTTTAAAAACTTGCTGTACCCCAAATATGGGTGAGATAAAAGATTAGCTGTAGGTAAACCATGTTAACACATGACTGAAAAGAAGGCAAGTACTGTCTCTTAGAATGTAGTTCTTCGGAACTTCTTCAGCTAGTGTTACTAGACTAGGAAAAGTAATTTGTCTAATATAATTGTGTAATAATCTACCTGTAAAGTTCACGTGCTGAGTTACAGCTGTAGTCTTTAAAGGTGGTGTTTGGGTAAATCCTAGAGTGTTTTTTTGGGTAAAGCCTAATATGATGCCATGACTGAGCTACAGTGACAAACTGAGCGTGCCTTGCTGCCATTGGTCATGGCCTGAAGTGTGCCGTAGCATCTTCCATAGTGCCTTCCTGGAACGTTCTCTTCTTTCCTTAAACTCTCCCCCAAAGCTTGAAAGATACAGGAGAGTGTTAGCTGATCTCTAGGGTGTGCTGCAAATTAACTGAATGAACCTTGCTGGGTTTAGTTTGATGAAGAGATAAATCTACAGAAGATAAAAAATCTAGCATAAGGATAGAGGATTTTGGGGGGTAGCTTTCTGATAGGAGTAGTGAGTGCAAAAAGTAGGGTGCTTACGGTAGGCCCACGTTCTTTTCATTACAAGAAAGTATGGTGGAGTTGCCTACAGACTAGAACTGGGCTGTGACTGAAGATGTCTCCTTCAGCTCCCTGCTTCTCGGAGGAGTGATGGTGGGAAGATGAGGAATAAAGAAAGCGTACAAGTCTCTCCAGGCTACTCAGTCCAGGTTGGAGATGTGCTATAAAGGCATAATCCAGACTAGCAAAATAAAATTGCGTTTACGATTTTAGTCAGTTTGTTCTGTCCAGAGTGGTGTTGCAATCTGAGTGCAGAAATCGTTATGTTAGTCCAGAGTGACTGAATGCTTATTTAAAGGAAATTAATGGTGACTCTTTCTCTACCTTCTAGATGGATTGACTCTTCTGTGTTGAATGCCTCCGGATTTCCTATTGGATTTCACGTCTGGAAAAATATTTTTGATTTAAGCCACTCAGTGGCAGACTGAATTGTGGATCCAGGATTCCTAGGACTTGAGATCTTGAGGAGGCAGCCACTGCTGAATCACGTTAACCTGACCAGCCACAATGGTGCTGTCACAAAGGCAACGAGATGAACTGTAAGGAATGGTTATTTTTAAGTTTGTGTCACCTTTTCATTAAACTTTAAGTATTAACTTTTGTTTCCAAATAGATTTTACAGTGTGGCTCTGCTCACATGCTGATCAGGTACCATGTGGTATGGTTTAGACCTCTGTACTCTGATTTTTGATACAACTGCTGGTATTTGATAATAGAATTGTGAAATGGTGAAAATATAATCTCAAAGTTATTAGTGGCATAAAAAATGGATTCTTAAGTTTGCTATAATTTATTATCGTCTGTTTTGTTTTGATTTCAGTCACAAGGTTATGAAAGAGTTACAGTAAGCAGCAAGCACTCTGCAATATATGCTCCAAACTGATTTGTGAATTCTACTTCTATCTTGAGTAAATTCTGACACTTTTTTTGTTATTTTACTTCTGAATGTAGATAAGGATCTGATCAGAATGTGCTACATTGTGATTACAATCTTTTTTTGACTTCTTAAATTGTATTTAAAATTAAGGGTATATTTATCTTAATTCCATTTCAGATACAAAATTCTTTCCAGATTTTAAGGCTAGGAATAGGCTGTCAAGTTCCATGCCTTAGTTTGCTTCCTCTTCTGTAATAAATCATGATAGAGCACGTGGTGGGTAGCAGTCAGGATGGCAATGTCTCACATGATAGCCAGGTTCATAAACTTAGAGTTTGTGGTTTGGTTTTGGTTTTTTATTCCTTTTAAAAGTAGGGGCTAAGTATCATTTAGCATTTGGTGTCTCTCTTGTCCATGGTAAAGTCTCTAATTTCTCTTTTTAATACAGCTTCTTCACTTTTCCAGGAATGATTCAACCCCCTTTATATTAAATAGTGTGCGATTTACATTTTTGTTTCATATACTTAGATACAGTTGCTCTTAAAGTAGAGTAGAAGCTATCTTCAAATTTTGATTTTTTACAAATGTTTATTCATTAGATTTGGAGAAGCTCTGGGGTTTAAACACATTCAGGATTACAATTTTTTTTTTTAGCAATTCTCTGAAGTTTTTTTCTGGCAAAATCTTCAAAGAGTACGTGTGTTAATGGGGAGATGGAAGTAATGAACTGTTATGAATGGAAATGGGAAGTGACCAGAGACTTAGGATTTACTTTAGAGGTCTGATGAGAAGGCAGTACTTTGTTTTAGCATATGTTGTTTATGGGGAGAAACTTGAAATTCCTGCTTGAATGCAGAGTTATATTTAGAGTTAAATGTCCGAGGAGAGATTGAATACGTGTAAAAGGTAGGAAAGAATAATGTGATGAAAGCCACAGGAAGAATTTTCATGTGAAAAGCAAATTCTTTTCAGAACAAAAAGTCATTATTGCTTCTTTCTTCAACTACCTAAGGGTATTAAGTTTCTCTTGAATGCCTTGTGTAGATGACCTTTGGATTTTTGTTTTTAAAAAGTATCTGTGTATCAGTTTACTTAAATATTTTAGTATGTGTATGTCTTGTCTTATCCCCCACCCCCCATATATGTATGTATACACACACATATCCCTTCCCAAGAAAGTAAGTGATAATAAGAAAACAAAGCTAGACTTTCTTCTGGAGGCTGCTAAAGTAACTGACGGTAATTTTACCTTTAAGTCTGTTTAGAACATTGAGCTTACTTCTCTTAAGCAAACTTTTCTTTGGTGTGTAAAGATATTTATCCATTTGAAATAAAATTTGAAAATGCAGGGTTTCCTTAGTCTTGTTCTCTTAAACAAAAGGTGCTGGCTGCTTGTTGAAGTATTAGAATAATATTGAAACTTTATGAGTAGGTCTACAGCAGATGCATGCTATCTCGAGAGAGAGGTTCAAGACAGATTAATTTGGTAATTGTCTTGTGTCAAAGTGTGGAATATTTTGAAGACTAATGTAAAATTTGAAGCACTGTACATTTTGGTCACAGGCAATATCGTTTCCTGTAATCTAACTAAAAGTTATTGTATCATTCTGAAAAACAAAGCCAAGACTTGTTCTCTTAAACTGAGCATTTTATTGAAGTTTAACTGAAGTAAAATTTTGTACCCTAAACTGTTCTACCCAAAATAGTTTTCCTTCAAAGATAAAGCCACAACTTTAATATGTAGATGTGGTTGTGGCTTTTGTATCTGCTATGGGTTTTATGTATGGTACAGATTGATAGGTATATTCATGCTACTCCAATGTTTGATAACTTAAAAGAAAAAAAAAGCTCTTCACCAAACCTAAAATAAAATGTATATCCTGCTGTTGACATCTTGAAGCAAAATCTGTTTGCCAAATGTATTTATAAAATTTGCTTGGGCTTTTAACAAACCTGATAATCCTAGGTGTTGTGCTGCATTGAAGACTTAGATGTTGATCTTGTTTTTTTAAAAATAATTTTAAAAAAATCATTTTTTTCTATCATGCAGAATTGTGGCTGAAGATATTGTTCTTTGTTTTTTAGAAATCGAGCAATAGCAGATTACCTTCGTTCTAATGGCTATGAAGAGGCATATTCGGTTTTTAAAAAGGAAGCTGAGTTAGATGTGGTGAGTTCAAACAAGATTCTTCATCTATATTTTAAGTAAAGAGTTCATAATTTTATGGCATTTGCATCCATTCGGAACACGTATATCTATTATCTACCTATTAGCTCATGCAGTTTCGGAACTGGAGGTGATAAACTCGTGCAGCTTATTGCCTTGCCATAAAATTAAAAAACAATCATTGGGTGACTTAGCGATTTATGAGCAAAACTCTTGTCTTTATCTTCAACTCATGACTTAAGCATGTTTTTCATCTTTTTTTTTTTTTTTGTCTAGCTACCACTTATCTATACAATGCTGAGTTTTTCCTGTAATGACCTTTTAAGGATCCAAGTCCTGAGAGGGCCTAGATACTTCAAGATGAAAGGTGCTAGAAAACAAAGCTAACAAAAGGCAACGTGAATGTATAAGAAAGATGATAAAAGATGGTGTATAAAAAAAAAAAGATATGTCCCTTCACTGGACTCACTCCAGCAGCTCCATATAGGACTAAAGCATCTCTTGTGTGGGGAGAGGCAGAGAGAGCTGGCACTGTTCAGCCTGGAGAAGAGGAGGCTTAGTGGGGTCTTATCGTTGTTTAGAAATATCTGATGGGAGGGTGTGAAGACTCTTCTTGGTGCTGCTTGTGACAGGACAAGAGCCAGTGGGCAGAAATTGAAGCTCAGGAAATTCCATCTGAATATAATATAAAACTTTTTTTTTTTTTACTGAGAGAGTGACTGAACACTGGAATAGGTTGCCCAGAGAGGTTGTGGAGTCTCTGTCCCTGGAGATATTCAGAACCTCGCTGGACACAGTCCTGGGCAGTCTGCTCCAGCTGCCCTTGCTTTGAGTGAGAGTTTGGACTTCATGATCTGAAGAGGTCCTTTCCAACCTGAGCTATTCTGTGCTTAACATTCCAAAGAATGTGTCTAATCTTAACACATTTAATTTCTGTTTCCTGCTGTTGTGTCCATCCCCCCCTCCCTTCCCTGTAACTCATTTCCTTAACTTCGCTTATTCTTACCACGGAATTCTGCATAAAAGCATAAACTTTCTGCAATACAAAATTAGAAAACCAAAAACTGTTCTCTTGTAACCAGATTTGAAACTGTATAAGACTATGCAGCTCTGGAGGCTGACTTGACGTGGTAATGTTTAAGAAACAGGAAGACAAAACAGGATTGCTTTTGTCCTCTCCTTTATCATACAGAGCGAATGGTGGAAGTCTGTTTTGTGATTGGAATTGGGTCAGTAGTTAAATCATTGCCTGAAACTGTTGGATACCAGTTGGTTAACTGTATAGTAGGAGGGCAAGCATAGATAGTTAATGTAAGTTGATCAGCTCTGTTAAGCAGCTCTGTTTTGTTAGACTGTACGGATGCTAGTGACTTCGACCAGTCACTTCCTGCAACTTAATTCTGTTGATTTGCCTTTGTAACAGGTGATTCTTGGTATCATTTTTAAACTTGACACTTCTCAGCATAGGAGGTGCGCATTTCATCTGAGTTTGTTTCTCTGGAGACAGATGGATTGAGTAGTAGATGTCTATGTGCTGACTTTTGACAAGTCCTTGCCTTTTCTCTATTATAAATCTTGCATTGTTCTTTTTCCAAAATGTGTGGTTGAAGTTTGACTTCATTTCTCCAATCTGCTTCCAGTATCTAATAAATAAGTAGAAATGACAAATTGGAATACCATACTTATAATTGAAAATCCTAATACCATTCCCTTATCTGCCTTATCTATCAACCTAATTAAGTCTCCTCTTCCCAAAGGTTAAAAAGGCAATCTAAATAGGCTAGATGGTCCTAAGGGGAAATAAAAAATGCAGTTGCTAAAAGTTCCACATGACTTTCTTGCAAGAAGATCTGAATTGGATGGAACTATACTAAAATGACCAAAAAAAAAAAAAAAAAGGCAGAAATTATTTCAGTAAATTGGAAGAATTCAAGTGTAGTTCTGCAAAGAGGGATTTCATTTTTTGTATTGATTATTCCTGCAGATAACTCCAGCTTTTACAAATGCCCCTGAAGTAGCAGGTTAACGTCTGGTCTCTGACCAAGGTAGCCAGTCCTCAGAGCTTTTATGGAGGAAGCCATGGCATTGTTATTTTCCCCATGCTTTTGTTATTCTCCATCTAATTTAGAATTATTCTAGTACAAGATTGTCATTTTGTACATGGAAATAGTGTACAGCATTTAGTTACTCTTCTGTGCCTCTGATGTTTGTTTTTCTGTGTTGCTTTTCTTCCTCTTGTGTTAATAGGTGGGAGGAAAAAAAAAAAAAGAGTAATCCTCTGGCTTTTACAATAACATCAGCCGTTCATTGTTGCTCCTTAGCTATTCCTTAGAGCCCAAAGGAGAAAAATATTTAGTGGAAGAAAATTATTCTTCATTAAAGTTTCATTAGAGTTGTAAAATCAATGTTGATTTCTCCAGTAGCTGGGGTGGTGTTCAGTAGGGCAGGGATAGTAGTCTGCTTTCTGCTTCAGTTACTGAAGTAAAGATGCAGGGAGAGTGTACTTAAAGCTTGTCTTTGAGAAGGTAGCACCAAAAAATGCAATATTATGGTGGTAATTTGAGGTTAACTATAATCAAGTTTAAAAAAAAAAAAAAAAATCAGAATTAGTTTGGGCTAACTGGTTTTCAAGTGAGATGGAGTATATGTCATCCTACTCGGACAGCTGGCTGCCGCTTTCAAACAGCCTGTGCTTCCATGAGAGAAAAAGTGCATTGTGCTAACAAGTCATGGTGCTAGCACAGGCCGAACTCTGAAGGTAGGAGTTCATTAGTTCCGCACGCTCTGGTTGGTGGATATGAAAAAGGAGGCTATCTTTGAGAAACTAATCTTGGTCTTTGCAGCCAATGCGTGCTGTCTGCTGTTGTTTTTATAAGAGTTAGTTGGGCGGAGGGATGGGGGGAATCCTGTAACAAAATATGGCACCACATTCTCAGATATACAGAGCACTTAAAAAGCTTTCAAGTAATGAAGACAGAAGACAACATAGGTAACAGTTTAGTCCTACTTTTTGGATTTTATTTGCAGAATCTAGCATTATTAATCTGTACTGCTGCAGTATTTTTAATTAAAAATTATATTTTAAAATTTTTTTTCTCTTCTGTGGGTGTAAATTGTAGGTATTAAAATTTGAAGCGTGATTATTCTGTTTAACCAGTAAAACTGATGATAATCTTTTGCTTTAATTCCTCTTTCTGTGGTCAAGAGATGGTATTAAAATGAGCTGTTCATGTTGCCTTTGAAGAAACACTTTTACAGGCTTTAGAACTAGAATTTATTAATTTATTTAAATGCTTCTCTTCCTCAGAATGAAGAGTTAGATAAGAAGTATGCTGGACTTCTGGAAAAAAAATGGACATCTGTTATAAGATTACAAAAGAAGGTAAGTAGAGATCTGATGGATTTAACTTGTATAAAAAGTTATGACTGAAATCAAACATTCATCACTGAACAGAATGTTACATTACAATTTCCTTGTCAGACAAATGCAAGGTTCGGAAAATGATGCCTCAAAGATGAATTTTGAGGACTTGAGTAGGGAAAATAGCTAAATCCATGTTGTAGAAAATGTTTTGTTTATCTCGGTGCTAGCAGAGACATCCTTTTGGTTTCTTTATAAAAATTTCTTTACTTCAGTTTATGGCTTGTATGTGCAGTTTCTGAAGCTGGGAATAAAAGAGGTGCCTTAAGGCAGTTTGTGAGTGGTCAATAGCTGTCTCCAGAAGGCTTAACTGGTTTAGAAGGAAGGTAAAAACCCGTGCTGCCAGTTGTCTTTGGCCATTACGTTAAAGGGAAGAAACCATTAACTCCACTGCATTAGAGCAAGTGATGCTACTGCAAGTGGACAGTACAAAACTCTTTTTAGTAATGCTTCAATGGGTCGAGAGGGTATTAAAAGCTTTTTTAAAAAAAAAAAAAATCAGTGTGCTAACAATAAAGACCTACCTATTGTAAAGATTAATATATCTAGGATTTTAGTATGCCTTTGGTTTCTCTGCTGTTGGTTAACTAAATGCCATCTCAGGGATACAAAAAAATTATTGCACTAGTAGCATTTCTTTTTGTTAACACAACCTCCTTCAATAGTTGGTCAACATAGTAGCTCCAGCATATTTGTACAGTATTTGAGTAAGTGTGATTTTGTAGAACTTTTTTTTCCTGTCAAAATGTTTGGGAAGTTGGAGAAGAATAAATGATTAATGATTAAATTATTAAAGGATAAACGATAAATGATTAATTTCGGTTTGATTTTTAGAAATACCAACACTGTTGAAGTTGGTAATCGGTTTGGATCCATGCAATCTTTGTTTTACTGTGAGTTTGGGAGCCAGTTGGTATTTGGATTATTAATGAGTGAAGGTGAATCTTGGTATAAAACTAGAAATGAATGGTGTCTTTAAAATTCATAAACTTAGGTAATGGAATTAGAATCGAAGCTGAATGAAGCTAAGGAAGAATTTACATCAGGTGGACCTCTTGGTCAGAAACGAGACCCTAAAGAGTGGATTCCTCGTCCTCCAGAGAAGTATGCGTTGAGTGGGCATAGGAGTCCTGTCACTCGAGTAATTTTCCATCCAGTTTTCAGTGTTATGGTCTCTGCTTCAGAGGACGCCACAATAAAGGTATGTGTTTGCTACAGAAAGTTAAACCAAGCAAGTCAGAGGATGTGTAATGCGTAACATTAGTACTTCAAGCGGGACGTGCGTTGTATTGATGGAAGATTGATTGTTTGAGATTCTGTTTTAGCTTTAGTAGGGACCATTCTTTCAACTACGATGTCCTGCGTAATCCACAAATTTTAGTTTTGTGCTGGCCCAATTAATATCTTCAAGAGTATTTTGCTATCCTTTGACTTGAGGAAAAAATAATTAAGCTAATGTGGATTTAGAGACCGGAGAAGTAGATAAAGGGGGAGGAATGCATTTTGACTGCTCAGTGGAGGAGGAGTGGCATAGTGTATAGAGTAGTGATGTGAGGGAGGAAGACGGTTGCCTCAAGTCGTCTGAAGTGATTATTCTTAAAGCTGAGTTAAAGTGGTTAGGCAGCTGTATTCTTAACTGAAAATTAGGTCTCTTTTTTTCTAAATGGGACATGCAAGTCCCATGAAGTCCCCGTGACTTCCAGTACCTTTAAATGGTCTTCACGGGCCTTTATTGCAATGTACAGTGGCATGAAGAGATTTGTTGTAGTAGGCAAGTAGTTTCTCATTTTAGCATCCAATAAAGACATGATTGCATTTTGTTGTTGTTTGAATGTCACAGTTTAAGGAATTATCCTGATAAAGGATAATTCTCATTGTTCTCCTCTATGCTGGTTTGAAAACTATTTGGAAAATTGCTGTTCTGAAAAACGTTGAGTAATGTGCTTAAAAAAGCAAGTTGTTCTAATAGTGGCTACCTGTTGGAGAAGATTAAAATAAAAAGTGTCAGCCATAGCTAGTTCATGAAAAGCTTTAACCTGTTCTTGTTTCTGCCGCAGACTTGAACATAGAGGACTGGTGTGTTTTCCTTCAAGCAGGCAGGGCCAGCTGCAACAGTGACAGCTCTGTGTTTGTTAGATGTTGTAGAGGAGCCTAATTAACTTCGGTTTTGCTCCCTCTTATGGATACCCTGGATGAATTTCCTTATTCTTGAAGTCAAGCTGTATAGCTTAATTTTGGACTGCTGTGTTCCCAATGATTGCGATCTATTGGGATGATGGAATTTTTTGTTGTTGGGTGTGGTTTTGGTGGGGTTTTTTGTTAGGTGTTTTTTTGGTGTTGTTTTTTTGTTGTTGTTTAGGATATAATTTAAAATTAGATTAATTTTGTGCTTAAGGGAGACACAATAAAATCTGTAGGAGCTTGTTTTGTTTCAAAGGCTTTTGTTTGCGGTTACATGATGGAAGACTGACTTAATTAGGAGGTGAAAATGGGGACTTTGTGCTGTCTTGCAGTTATTAACTGCAAACGTTTGTTTAATCCCTGACAAATTCTGTAATCTACCAACGTGTGCATATCAGACTCTTCAGAGGGGTTTCGATTATCATCCTTAAACCAATGCATTCTGAATGTTGCTCCTTAGCATGCAGAATATTTGCTATTTGGTTCTGAAGCAGCAAATAAATTCTGGAGCCACAATAACGCTTGGGAAACGGGGGGCGGGGGGGGGGGGGATTGTTAAAGATGATGCTTTCCCCATCCACTGGAAGTGGGCTGTACTGCTGGAGTTAGGGAATTAGCATACGAAGGGATGGAGAAAAACAACCTGTACAAAGTGGATTTGTTCTCTCCAATGTTTTCTAAATTGATCTTCTTTATTTTTGAGGATATTGGGTGTTAAGACTTCTAGATGCAATGGAACTTATTTTCCTGCTGTGTTTATAATGCTTTAAGTTAGCTGAAAAACAGTTTTCAAGATACATGAATTCAGTTAATTTATAAGTAACAAAATCATATAAAAAGAATGCTTGTTTTTCTATGCTGGTAGGCTTTTCAGGGCTGTCTTACTTTGTCTCTTGCTCAATTAATTATTGAATAAGGTGCCAGACTGGCCTGCAGAGTGCAAATGGAAGGCTGGAGAATACAAAGAGTAATAGGTTGCTGTTAACAGATTTTCTGTTCACTTGTCAGGTGTGGGATTATGAGACAGGAGACTTTGAACGAACCCTTAAGGGGCATACAGACTCTGTGCAAGATATTTCCTTTGACCACACTGGCAAACTATTGGCCTCCTGTTCTGCTGATATGACCATTAAGCTATGGGATTTCCAGGGCTTTGAGTGCATCAGAACTATGCATGGTAAGGTATAAAGGGAATTGATTTTGTCTGTAAAGTGAAGATATATATATATATATTTTTTAATCCAGGAAAACTGCTGATGTGGAAAGGGGTTATAAACCAGAGTATCGTCCAAAAGAAGGAGGGGGGATATTTTCATGCTTTGAGTGCTCTGTAAATAAGGTATATGTTTAGTGTCTATGGAATGAAATAACATCTCAGATCTGCTATGCATGATGCTATGGGAAGCATCCCATAATGATACTGAAATGAAATGGCAGTTAGAGGGGTTTAGCACTAAAAATTAAATGCTTACTAGACAATAAAACTGTGCCTTCAAATCATTAAAAAAATTACCTTCTTCACCCCTCTGTTTCTCTGATGTACTGCTTCAGGAAGGAATCAGTCAGTACGAACGGTGTTCTGTGTGTCCCGTGCAGTCGTCTGCTTCCATGTTTGTCTGATTTCAAATGAACATGCTTTGCATGAGGCTCAAAAGCGATAGGAAACGATGGGAAAGCAAGACAACCACAACTATAAGATTTTAATACTGACAGCAACTATTTATTTTACAGTATTGATGCAAAAGTGTTTTTATACTGCTGCTTGTCTTGCTTTTAATATCTTCTTGTAGAAGTGGTGAGTAGGAATAGAGAATGTTTGAGGCTTATGAAAATAAGCACATGCACACACATATATACCAAAGAAAACAGAAAGCGGTTGACTTTTGGGCGTGCAGTTCTTTAAACACCACAGAACACTATTGTAGAGGAAGAGCAGACATTGCAGCTGGCTGATAGCAAGAGAATAAAGTAGTGCTACAGAGGTCGGGGTTTTTTGGTCTTTAAGGATTTCTGTACAAACACACATGCAGTATGTGTACTTTTATGAACTGGATGTTGTAACATGAGTGTGGGTGAAGTAGCTTCGTGTATATTGCCAGTTACATCCCTTCAACTCAAATTCAAGTGAAAAGAAATAAATAATCTTTTCAGTGAGGAGTTATAAAGTACCATACTTGCACTGAAACTAGTATTCTCTGACACTTCAGGTACTTGATTGCTGCTGTGGTTCCTTTTTAGTAGGGGGCTCTGAGTTCTTAGTGGAAAAATGGAAATGCAAATTGTGAAGTTGTACATCGTAGGTACGTGGCTTGCAAGATGCAGTGCCAATGAAAGAAAAAAAGCAACTTGTTAGTGAACTTACTGGCTATAACTTTTTGGAAAAAAGAACATCAGATCTCCAGAGGAAAAAAAGGAAGCTGTTTAATGCCTCTAATCTGATGAGAAATTACATCTACTCTAAACTACTGATCTCAGAAGATTCCTTTCTAATCCTGGCAATTTAAGTAGGGACAATTGCAGAGCTCAAAGTACGACAAGTGCATGAATTATATACAAACTGTTATAGTCAAGCTGGACTTGTCAAAAAAACCCCTACCCAACAGCTCGTTCTGGATAATACTAGAATTTCAAAACAGTTAATTCTAATGTTTGCCACTTTTATTCTAACTTTTCGTAATACTGGAAATGAATAGTCTTTACAGAGTGTGTTATCTCCCTTTATATGTTATATCCCATCGCTTGTGGGATGAGTAAAGCCAAGAGCTGAAGCCTCCACACGAGGTCGTAAGGAGTTTGTGTTAAGGAAATGATCTGGATGCTTTTTCCTGACTTGATTGATCATCTTCCTCTCAGATCTCTCAACAGTAGTAGAAGTTGCTGTCATGTATATGCAGTTGGTTCTTACTTGGTTCTTGAATCAATGTAGTACAGTGTTTTATTAAAACCTAATATCAGATGTTGGGAACACCTTGAGTCTTTTCACATTAAGCTTCTGCAGTGAGGTTTGGCATGCCTCTCACTGAAGACCTGTTCTCCTTTTAAACATCTTCTGCATAGTGCATCAGCATGCTGTAGTCAGATCTAACTGATAATTTTAAAGACAGTCACTGTAGCAGCTCTCTTTTAAACTACCAGCTTTTGTAACTGTAGAAGTGTTGCTTGCAGTGGCGAGGGTCTGGTTTTAAAACATCCTAAAGAAATTTTTGAAACAATTGTGAAGGATGCTCAATGTCTGGACTGCGTGTTTTCTAAAAACAAAAATGATTATTTCATAAAACCTCATCTACATATAAAGGTTATTCCATAAAACATGCACTACTGCTGTAGCTGCGTGCCCAAGATAAATGAATAAAAGTCCTGTGTGCCGTGTAAAAACTGTTACAGTACCACTAATAAAGGTTTGGTTTTGGTTTTAGGTCATGATCATAATGTTTCTTCAGTAGCCATCATGCCCAATGGAGATCATATAGTTTCTGCCTCAAGGGATAAAACTATCAAAATGTGGGAAGTCCAAACAGGGTAAGTGCACTTCTGGCTAAACATCAGCACCTCAACAAAGCAAGCGTAGACCACTGTTTATAGGAAATGAGCCACATAAATCTTGAACGTCAGCAAACATTATTTGAATTGAGGTATGATATTGTGCCCTTTAGAGTAATTCACTTAAGGATTCTGCCTTAAATCATTAAGCACAGGGTTTTAGGTTTTAGTAGCGACTAATTAAAACTAACTGGCTTTATCTTTCTGGGAGCAATGAGGGTAGAACACCATAACTCAGGACCAGGTAGGAATATAAATTCAGTGGTTAACCACAAGTTTAAAGGGAGCATGAGAGGAGAGAAGAGAAATCTGTTACCTTTCTTGACAAGATCAAGGTCTCTCCTCTGCTTTTGTTTTGTTTTGTGGGTTTTTTCTTTGTTATTGGTGGGGTTTTTTTGTCTTACGCTTGCATTCATCATTTGTCTCTTTAATCCATCCATTTGTTAAAGTTGTAGGTGAAGGCTGTCTGAATGACCTGTAAATCTCTACTTGTTCTTAAAATACCTATTTAATGCAAGCTGTCATGTCAACTTCATTTTTTCCCCAAGCTTCCTGCTTTCTACCTTAACGAGATTTGCCAGTTCTTAGCTGTCACTTCTTTCTCATGTCAACTTCCTATCCATGATCTGTTTTACGGCCTTGTACATCATCATCCAGGATGGACACGTGCATGCTAAGATATTGTATCTTAACTTCTAAGAGCAGGTCAAGTGTCCTTAAATTTCAAAGGCATGTGTAATGGTTTTATTGCAAAGTTAATTGAGTCGTGCTGTATTTCTCTTTTTTGAATAGTTACTGTGTGAAGACTTTCACGGGTCACAGAGAATGGGTGCGCATGGTGCGGCCTAACCAGGATGGCACCTTAATTGCCAGTTGTTCTAATGACCAGACAGTGCGTGTTTGGGTGGTAGCGACAAAGGAATGCAAAGCTGAGCTCCGAGAACATGAGCACGTGGTAGAATGCATTTCCTGGGCTCCCGAGAGCTCGTACTCCACCATATCAGAAGCTACAGGATCAGAGGTAATGTTTCCAATGCTATAAATAAGCACATACAGATTTTTGCCTATGCTCTGGGTAGCATTTAGAACAGCTAAGCTTTGTTCTCAGGGTGCTTGGCAGATATAGCAGGTGTATGAGTATTTTCTGCTGAGTATACCTGGTGTACTGTTAATCCTCCGTCTTGGCTTCACAGGATCCATGCTTTTGTGTTTAACAGTAGGACCCTACCTTTGCGCTAATGCAAGTGAACTTTGGCGAGATGCTCTATTTCTGAGGAGGTCGAGAGTGGGACTACTTTCACATATTTCAGCAAAGAAATGCGGAAGGTAGCTTATCTGGCAAAACGTGAAGATTATAAGGATGCTCAGCAATTGAAAAGTGTGGGGGGAAGTAGTGAGCCAGGAATGCAGAAATGAAGCTGCCTTGGGTGCGTTGTGCTGGAATTGGCTTTGACTGCTATGTCCTAGTCTGCAAAGTTAATGATATGAGAAAGCATTCTTTAACAAAAATAAATCCCCATTTTTGTGCGATCACAGATACATCTTCTCTGGTTCGGTTACTAAATCTTCAAGAAAGGCTTACTAAAGGTCAGCAAAAATTTCCTTTTAAGGATGACAAAGTGTAGAAGAAATGAACTAGAAATTAACTCCAATTTATAGTTAAAAAAACCCCCAAGCATTTCTGCCTTGTCCTCTTCCTCAAAAAGGACACAAATACCCACGGGGAAAAGTAGATACACTGAAGACAGGGACTTGTCTAGTGATGGATTTTACAGATTATTTCAGTCAAACTTTACTTGTGTCCTTAAAAGATCCTTATAATCTTTTAATTAAAAGATTATTAAAGCTAAATTCCAAATGTTCACTTCCTCTTGCAGTGGTAACTGTCTGAAGTGGTGTCTCCCCTGCCCTCTGCTGGTCTGATCAACTATATACATCCCATTACAGTGCTTAGCTTTGCTCAAGCAGCAAGTTAATGTTAACTTCACAGTTGAAACGTTTCAAGTTCTGAGAACTAAGTCTTTCTTTCATACTTTGCATGCTTACAAATAGAAATAAGTTCAGAGTAGGAACTTTTCAAAAATTCTTAAACTTGCTTCATGACTTTTTGTGAAGAATGAGAACACAAAGGTATGTCTGAACTCCGTACTCTTGTCCTGAGATGTCTGACTCTACTTGAACTGCACCAACTACGAAAAGAGGATGTCTTGTAGTAGGCAAGTGTGGATTCAAAGTAGTATTTGGCTTGGTGCATCAGCAGGACATGCAACCATTTCTTATAACAGATTGTTTAATTCCTTTCACTTTTTGTTTATTTCTCCTAGTGTTAGTAACAAAACGCCTGTGACTCTCTGCTTCGGCATTGTCTGTTTATTAGCTGTAAGCTGTCACAAGATCTAATTTTGCTACTAAGAGATAGCACTCGGAAGGGATCTGCTTCCTCCCTCCTCTTCCCTCCCCTGTCCCATATATTCCATAACTTAAAACATAATTTTCTGTAGACTAAGAAGAGTGGCAAGCCTGGGCCTTTTCTGCTGTCTGGATCCAGAGACAAGACCATTAAGATGTGGGACATTAGCACTGGCATGTGCCTTATGACACTTGTAAGTTCGTTGATGGTTTTCTGGTGGTCATAGCTGCATATGTAAAGCCAGTTTTAATGGAGTTATTTATCTTACATGTTTATGTTCTCAAGAGAAGCCAGAGTTATTGAAATAAGACAAACACTGGAAATAGGCAGTTTTAATGGCTTCTGTATTTCAGATCTTGTCATTGTTTAAGAAAGACTAAGAATCTCAAAATACACAGTATAAATGCAGGAGTACTGCGGTGTAGTTTGTGATGAGTAGCTTGGTTTGTCTGCAGACATGCTGATAATCATCTGAATTTTGTCTTCCGTAAAATGCCGTGTTCTTTCAACGTGTTGGTCTTCCGGCAGGCAACAGACTGCTGCTTTCTAGCCTGTATTGAGGCTGGACTGGATGTTGGTGCTGGGGGCGGGGAGCAGAATCAGTGCAGATCACATGAGAACTTCTGTTTGTTTGCCTTCAAGGACAGGAACTGACATTGTTGGCAGTGCTGATACGGATGTAATAATAGAAACTGAAGATAAACTTTGAGTTGTCATAGGTTTTAGAAAGCTAACTGCTATCCTTGCAGCAACAGGGCAAGGAGTCACTCAGTTTGCCATAGCATAAATTGTAGAATGTTTCACCTTAAAACGTGCACCTCCTCACTGATTTCTCCTTATGCACAAGGTGGGCCATGATAACTGGGTACGTGGCGTTCTGTTCCATTCTGGGGGAAAATTTATTTTGAGCTGTGCTGATGACAAGACTCTACGTGTCTGGGACTTCAAGAACAAACGATGCATGAAAACCCTCAATGCGCACGAACACTTTGTTACCTCTTTGGGTATGTATTGTTCTCCAGTGCTTACTGCAAAGTACAGAGCCAGAGATACAGATTTCTCTACATCTTCACCAGCTGAAGTCGAGCACCGAGCTAGACATTCATGTTTTGGATTCCAGTGAAGCTTTGTGCTATGTGTATTTTAATCAATAAGGACAGATACGAATTTTGAGTGTGCTGCATTTTTCCACTTGTGTTGCCAGTGTTGCATACTGGATAAAGACGTTAACTGCCAGGGTGTTCTGGAACCTTTCACCACTGAGTCTGTAGGCATTTGGGGAGTGCTGTAGTGCAAATGCTTGCCCAGAGAAGGGAAAAAAAAAAAAAAAAAAAAAAAAGGCAGGGGTGGGAGGAAGCAAATTAGTCAGAAAAAAAAAATATTTTGAATTCCTGGACATTCCTGATTAGTATTACCACGTCTTGGTAGACGTTAGTCCCCCCCTGCCCTGACAAAAACAAACCAAACCAACCCCTCCGTGTTCAACAAAGCTAGCTTTACTCTGGAATCTTCTCTGCTGTTTTTTTTCTCTGTATTCCTCTGGCAGTTCATAGCTTCTTCAGTAAAGCGGGGTTAGTTAGGTTAGCAGTGGACCTGGAACTGGCTACTTAAGGTTTCCTAATCAAACTCGCAGGTCTAATCAAAATGCAGGGTTTCCAACTTCACTCTTAAATTAAAGACAGCTGATCAGAAAGGGGCAAAGAAAAGTTGTGAGTTGAAGAACATTAAACCGTTAGCATGGTTGGCTGACCCTGGAATTGGCTGCTTCCGTTTACAGATGGCTTTGCTGAACCCTTTCTGCACAATGAGGCTTCTTGATTCCTCTTGGTTAAAATTGATTTGTATATAGGAATATTCTGGGATCTCCTGAGAAACCGTACACTTAGCATTTTTTAAATACTAGCTCACAGCAAAAAGTTTCTTGACTTCTGATTCTTGAATATCTCCTATGTAAATACCTGAAGTTCTGTCTTCTGGTGGTATTCAAGGGTTTTACCAGTTTGAGATGTTTTGGACTCCTCTCTGTTATAACTTTATCTGGATTTCTTTTCCACGAAAGCTCCTTTATAACTGAACTGAAAGGAGATTTTCACGCTTTACAAGATGATAGCATGAGAGAATTTGCCTTCAGAGCTACAGACATGATGAGCTTTGAAATTTGGTATTTGAGCTGGTATAATTTTTTTTGAAAAAGTAATGACATTCAGTGAGAGCGGAAAATACTAAAGTTTTGGATTCGTTCTTAACATAAGCTTTTCTTTCCTCGCAGATTTCCACAAGACGGCACCGTATGTGGTTACTGGAAGTGTAGATCAAACAGTAAAAGTGTGGGAGTGCCGTTGATTGAATTCACATTTGACCCCTTTTTCCTCTGGATGCACTCAGATACCATGGTTACCCATTGAGCTCTGTTTAAATAAATATTGTCCTTTCATGTAAATTATTCTGGATGTAGATTGAGCTTATTAAATGTTACACACAAAGTATTCATGCATGGTGAATCCAAATTGTATACTGTAAATTTACATACGTTGTCTAGAAGTACCATAGGTTTAAGAACATGGGCTGGCATTGGTCACATCAGACCTAAGAAGGCAGAAGTTGGATAATTGAAATAGGGCACTTAACTGAATAGTTGACAGTGTCGTTCTATGTCGGATAATTATACCTGTTTTTCTTTCTGCTGTCTGTTGGTGCCTGAATTGGTGACCTCATTTGGGAAAAGTTTTGTAGGGCTCTTTCAGAAATGTGTATCTATGTAACATCACTTAAGTGTGCTTAATAAATCTTCTCTAAGAATACTAGATAATAAGGCTGCAATTCAGAATCTTCTGAACCTTATATGTAATTAATGGAAATTAATTAAACTCTGGAATATTTGTCATGAAACATTTGCCAAATCAACAGAACACACTTGTTTTGGCCTCCTATCACGCAAGGGTTGGTATATTTATATAACTAACTGTAAACCTGAAATAAGACAACAAATCTTAGTAGCAGCTGATGTGATAAATGTATTTATTTTTTATTTGGTCATTCAATGGTTAAGCTGTGTTGTTAAACTAAGTTTAAATGGGTTTTTTGTTGTTGTTGGGTTTGTTTGTTTTTTTTTTTTTAAATGCTAGACGAACTTCCAGGAGGAGTTGTCCATCCCACTAGAATTTAGTGATCTAATTTCCACTAGAGCTTAATCTCCCAAATGGCTGCCATGGTACAACTTGCTGTTTGCTTTCAATGTTTGTTAGAGATGTGCAATTCCTATTACACAACAGCATCAAAGTACTTTTCCCTCTTATTCACTTGCAGGAGGTTGGGATTTACAAAGGTTTCGTGGTTTCTTTAGTGCCTCCTTGGAAACTCGTTTGAAAATGAGGTTATACTTACCTTGGCAAGACAATGTGGCTTGAATAAAAACATACTGTGGTTTGCATATTGAGAAATATCTTGGGATACAGTGTTTAAACGCTTGAAAGAAAGCACTAAATACTTTGAGAATCAGGTTGTAATGGCAGATACAGATTGATACAGGCTTCTACGAGAAAACCAAAACACCATCAACAAAACAAAGTCCATCCGTGGGAATGATGCTATCAAGTAAACATTTAAAACCAAAACCAAATCCTATCAGCAAAACTAGCCCAGCTTGGTTCTTAGTATTTATGTTGTTTGGTGTATACAATTTTTAATTTGCATATCCCTAAAGTTACATATTTTGATCTGAAGTGAATGAAAATATTATAAATTAGTATTTTAATCAGCATTTTTGTGACAAATTCCATTGTAGATAACTGAGAATTACAATACTTATCAAACTAACCAGGTCTTTTTAAAAATCCACTTTAAAATTTACAGTATGATGAAGTACCAGTCTGATGTTTTAACAGGTGAATTTGTGCTTCATTTTATTCATTTTGTTTAATACATGGCTTTTAAAACTGTCCCTTTTAAAAACAAGAATCCTTGACCAACGTAGGGTTGGCTGGCGGGTGTACACACTAAAATGGTGAGGGGTACGGTGGTTAACTTCCTACAGTCGCCCGCAGAAGGACCCGTCCTCCGGGGTGGAGGAGCTGGGTTTCGGAATTGGGTCCTGGCGTAGGCTTGCCTCTGGGAAGGGGTGGAGGAGATGGAGTTCTGATGTGGGGGTTTTTTGGAGCCAGTCTAAGATTCAGGCTAATCTCTTTAAATCCAGTGGTTTATGTAATCTTCCGTGTGTGTTTCTGCAGTTAAGCATGCACAAATAAAGTAATTTTTTGTTTGTTAGCTGCTTGGACTGGACAAATTTGCTGCTTTCTGTCCTATTCGAGAATTCCAGATACACAAGTAGTGCATCTTAAAGTTCCTCGGTGCATCTGCAACTGTAAAGTACTACATCTGTTTAGTTCCTGATAGGACCTATAAACTTTATTTAAGTATAAAGTAAACCACACTCATGTACATAATTCATAAAGATGAATGAGAAATTAAAGGTACCTATTAAGTGGAAGTTGTCTACTGCATTTTTTCCCTTTAGCATACAACTCTTTACAAGGACAACCGAGTAACTAAAGTCACGTAAGCAGCATTTAATTGCTTGTGTGAAACGCTCTGCAAAGTACTTCTGCAACCTTCTCCTTTCATAAGCAGTGAATAATCTCAGGGATGGTCCCGAATGGATCACAAGTGAAAGCCCTGGTTAGACAAAAAAAAAAAAAGTGAAAGCCACAACACAGGAGTTGGGTTTGTGAGGGTTTCCTGCAGCGTCGCTCCGTGCTACTGCGCCGTGGTGAACTTCTTCCACTGTTGGCAGTGTTTTCTGTCGGCTAATCCTGTGCCTTTCCTGTGATAACGAGTACAAGAATGAGGTTACTGGTTTGGATCACAACATAAATCTGTTAGGGAGTTGAAGAGGTTCACTGCTGCTTTGCCACTTTCCTTACTAAAATTGGCATCGCTTAAAAAATAACTCTGTACAGACCGTGTTACCAAATGGACAATACAGACTTTTTGGCTTAAAAGCAGGCAGCCATTCCAGTGCCACCCTGATGGAACGTGCCCAGGAAGGCTTAGATGCGTTCTAAAAAGTGCAACGTTTATTGTGGTTTAGACATAATCTGGAGGTCGATGTTTTATAGCATCTTGCACTTTAGAAGATTTAAAAAAAAAAAAAAACAAAAAAAAAAAAAAAAAAAAAAACAAAAAAACGTCCTGGTGTATGGTGGGACCAATGAGGGGCCCGGGGGACTAAGTAAAAAAAAAAAAAAAAAAAAAAAATCTAGTTGCTAGCAAGTTGTCCAAGGGCTGTGGAGCACTGTAGTAGTTTGAAAGCTTTGGCTATAGACTCACCAAGCCCAGTCTACTTATCCTGTCATACCCTGCTTCTCCCGTTTGCCTCCTCCTGTTTTTATGTGAACTGCCTGATAATATCACTCTTAAATAGCTTTTGACCCGCGTGAAAGCTATTTAAAAGACAAGATTATACTTTGTTTTTGTAGACAGTGGTGGCTTGATAATCCTTTTAATGAGCTGAATATTAAAGAAAAAATACTGAGTGAAGGAGAAGCGCACATAGAACGAGTTATTTGCTGTCCAGCTGTACGTAACGTCCGGTGTATTTAAAAAAGTCAAAACCAAGAATCTTCTAGCAAGAATACCTGCATAAAATGGTAGGGATAAACGTGTTAGGAGCGGGGGAGGTTGAGTGGGATTTACAAGTCACAACTGGATTTAACTGGCCTTTTTATCTTTCCACTGTGTCATGTAAGTAGCTGCTTTCTTGTCCTACCTATCCCTCGGGCTTCCCCAAGTTCGCAAAATCTTCACCTTTTAGAAGTTGATCCTGACATTGACATGAAGGCAAACGTTGAATTTTTTTCATAAGAACGATGTTAGAGGTTGCAATTGGAGAAAACAGTTCCCAGACTGTAGGAGTTAACGGAAGCTATTGACACAATTTAAAAAAAAAAAAAAATCAGTAAAGGAATGTATATAATACTGCTCTGTGTTTTACAGTAAGATTTGTTGCTCTCAGACTGTGTAAAACAAAATTTATTCATGTTTTCTGCATATTAAAAAAATCTTATTGTACCAATTGGTAAACTATTAAATGCATATAAAACTAGATGTGGTTTTGTTTCCTTGGATGCAAGAATTAAAACTATTTTGAAAAAAGCTATTGGTGTTTCACCCTTCAGATTTTACTCCACAGCTGCTTTTCCTTTTATCTAATTTTAATTTAAATCGTGCTCGGCTGAGGAAATGTGAAGCATTTTTAAGGCAGTTGGTCGCCGTGAGAGCAGTCGAAGGTTTTCTTGGTGAAGCGAGATCGCGTACAGAAACTTGTGCAGCCGGGAATGGTTCCGGCCGTGCCGGCGGGGGGCCGGGCTGTCCCCCCGCGGCCCTTCTGCTGCTGCCGGTCCTGTCCCCGTGCTGCCTTTTCCCGTTTTTTGTTTTGTTTCGGGGTGTTTGAATTTATTTATTTTATTTCCCCCCCCTTACCTTGACCCTTGCTTTACAGCAGACCTACCAGGAACCACCCCTCGCTGTTTCTGTGCTCGGCAGCGTCGGAGCTGTGGGCGCCGCGGGCCGCGTCCTGCGGGGTCCAGCGCGGGAGCCGCCCGTCGCCGCGGCAGGAGAAGCCCTGCGCGGGTGGAGGTGCCCCCCGGGAGGCTGGAGGCTTTGTTTCCGTCTCGGTGCCTGTCGGTTGGGGTGTAGGTTGGTGGTGTGTTCGGTTGTTGGTTTTTTTTTTTCCCCTGCGGTCTGGCCTTCGTTGCCGTGAGCGCTGCTTATAAACGGGTCAGGGAGCTGAAATGGAAAGCGCATTTCTTCATTGATGGAGGAGCAAGGAGGTGACCTTGACCGTGCTGGGGGGAGAACGAGACAAAGCTGCTAGCTGCTACGTGCTGCGTAAGCATCCTGCACGGTGTTACTTAGGAGCAGGAACCGACCTGGGATGGGCTTTTGGGGGAGACTGACCTTCGTTTGGGGAAAACAACGGAATTTCAGGCTCTGCCAGAGCCAACGGGCGGTCGGATGCCCTGGGGAAGGGGTGGCCCGAGCGGTCGGTCCAGAGAGGCGTCAGGGTGCGGGTTTGAACGGAAAGCCTCCTAAGTGTTTGCAAACGTAGTAAGCTTATTGAAAGGCAGAGAGAAGGGCTATTAAAATGTCAGTTGCTAGGAGCAGTCTGGGTAGTGGAGGAATTCCGTTTTCCCCTTCAGCTTGGCGAGTTGTTGCCTTGCTGACAGCAGCTTGGTAAGTGGACGAGACGAGCTTCCACCAGCGGGTTCCAGTTTTGCCGTAGCACTGATGGGTATTAAAACATTTTTTTCAGCAGACAGGGTTGAATATAAAAAGAAATTACACGGATAGGAATTTTGGTCGATGGTGGGAAGATAATGATGTGCTCGGTCGAGCAGGCTTCTCTCTGGACGGTGCAACCGCTAGCTGCAGCCCGGGTTTAACCGGGGACTTCTCCTTGGAAGAAAGTTGCAGCTTTTATTGTATGTGTGATGGCATTAAGTGCTGGAAAGCCCTCTGTCGGGAAGGACAGCGAGGAGGATAAAACCAGTGTATTTCGATGTGCCTCCTTCAGGACTGCTGCTGGTTTTAATCTTTCTCTGAAATAATTTGTTTGCTGCAGTTACTTTTCTCGGGCAGCGGCACGGCTCCCTGCCAGCCGCGCTTCTCCGCGCCACGCGTGGGCTGCTAAACCCTGCCGGAGCCGGAGCCGGAGCCGAACAGCGCGAGGAGGGGCCGCGGTGGCGTACGTGGAGCCGCTGCCACAGGCGAGCTGTTCGGGGCCGCTCTCCTCTCCGTAGTTCTCCGG